GTGATTTTATGATTTTATCAATACTTTTAAGTAAATCTAGCTCATAGCAATTGTAAATACATCAATCATTTTTAAGAAATAATACTTTGGGCTTTTTGGACTTTTAGGTAAGAAAAGGTTGGAATTTAGAACCAAATGTCGATATTTTCAGTCACCGTCGGTTGACCATACTACTTCATATCAAATTATTAATCCATCGTATATAGTCTATATATATAGACATTGCTTAGTTTGTACAAAAAATATTGGTTGCTTACTAATTGCTTCCGATCCATTACAATTTTCATTGTTCGTTTTAAATCATCAAAAATAACAACGTTCATATGGTATGTACAAGATAAATTAAATACATCTTATCTAAAACATCATACAGCTCAAGTCACACATATATATACCAAACGATCTTTTATCTTGAGAATGCGTGTTAAATATTGCATATTGAAAAAAAAATGCAATCTAATATGTAAGAGACTTGAACAAGTGCATTTGTAGTCAATCAGTTAATCTCCTTTATATAAAAAAGATAGATTTCATACTCTTTAAGGAGTGTCACATAAGCAAAAATAATCAGCCAATAAAAATATAACAAATTGACACACCGTTAAATTATAAAAAAATTAACCAATAAGAATAAGACAATATACCACATCAGTAAAAATAATTAATCAATGATAAATTTCAAAACTGCTATATCATCTTCTCCAACCAATAATTTAAAGTCATTTTATTAAATAATTTATTAATCAAAATTTCTTCAAATTTTACCTAAAAAAAGCTTTTATAATTCTTAAATTCTCAATAAAAAAAAACAAAGCTAAAAAAATCTGAAGACGAATTACACTAAAACTCAATTATAAAGCTTAAACAAAATTTTATTTTATGGAGTCATCGTCTTCTCGGTTTCCAATCATCTCGCCTCTGACTCACCAGAAACAGAATCAGCCGTCACTAAACACAAATTTTACTTATTACTTAATGACAACCAAACTAGTGATAAATAATAAAACTTAAATAAGTGGAGCATAAATATTTGGAAATCCAAAAGACATCGCAATGAGGATGTCAAAAAAAAAAGACATAGTAAAAACTTAACTAAAGAACCAGTGATTAAAGACAGTTACTCACCGTTTTTTAATTTTTATTTGCAAAATTACATGAAACATAAAACTGATTTTTTTTTTCAAATAACATATAATGATAAATTCCACACTCTTCACCAATATTGGCAAATGATTGAACTAGCTAAACTATCAAACAAATATCATATCAATCAATAAAGAGCTCATATAATAAAAAAGTTTATTATTAATTGCCATTTGTTTTCTTCGTTGAATATATGAACTAATTATAAAACATCTATATACATAGTGAATCTTAAAAAATTGATAAGTAGAGAAATGCATACTATATGCAAAATCCTAATACACAATATGAAACAAAAATAGAGAAATGATTAAATTTTTCTTTTTAAAAGCATCAAGCGAAAGAGAAGCTTATGCAGAATATTTTTGAAAGTATAAAAAAATACTCATGGTGTTCACTAATGAAATAGCATTATAACATAAGATGTCCAAATTTAGACAATATATTTCTAATATAATATATAGTTCATGTGGATACTATTTACATAAACAAAAAATATAACAAAATTACAAATCAAATTATTATACAAAAATATCAAACTTTACCCTTCATATTTATAAAAACATGCATTAACTCTTAAAAAAAAGTTTAACTAAGCCAAAAGGTATATTAATCTACTTTCAAATTATTATACAAAAATTTCGATCATTTTTTACATATATATATATATACATCCTTCTGATACTTACTTCGTTCGATTATATCTAAGAATCACATGCAAATATATTACTCTATAATTTATCACAATATTAAACACAAAATTAATTGACAACCTTTTATAAAACTACAATATAACTATACAATCCACGCGTAGCGTGGGCAAAACACTAGTATTTATAAAATCGATTTAATTATAGGGATAAAACTGGTTAAAGAAATTAGGTTAATGGTATATTTTTGATAATATAATTTATAATTTAAATAAGGTAACTAATATTAAAATATCTTATTGCAAATTGTTTTACCATTGACAAATTTTTTAATGTTTTTTAAGTGTTGAATAATTTGTTGATGCTTAGATAAACCGTGAAAGAAAACTATTCGACCGATTGGAACACCATTAGTCCATTACAACGATATTTCGGATAATACACATGCAGGATCACATTCCTTTTTTTATTATGATGTATGTATTTCAAGCTATAGTCCATAGTATATGGAGATAAATGAATTGTGGAAAAAATGGTTAAGTTCCATCAACTCGCTTTGAGAGACAAAAGATATGAGAAGAGTCTCATAGTTTGGTTTGCCACAAAAACTTCATTAGTAATTTTTTGCTTTTTTGATTCATTATAGTCTAAACAATTCAAAAGAAATATATATGCATTTGGTTGTAAAACGTTTTTTTTTTGTTTATATAATTAAAAGAAAAGAATTACTGTATGTTGGCCAAAAGAATAAATGCAGAAATAAATAAGCGTCTTAAATTTGTTTAGTTGCAAAATGCACTGATAATTGAATGTTTAGGTGTTTGACAATATTTTATTAGCCCCACTTTATGTATGAACGTTGTTCAGCCAGTCACCAATTAGTAAAAAATATGTCATATAAAAAAAGTGATACTAAAATTTATGAGATTGAAATATTATAGTCATGGACCCTCATCTAACTTTGGCAGGTGAAACTCGCACCTAATCAATAACTAATGCCATTTATATTATTATTATATCATTTCTCTTATGCTATTTCTAGTATTTAACTCTCGCGACAAAGTGCATCTAGTCTGTTTCTTAACCATAATGTTCCGAGTTTTAACTATCTGTAATAGTTTCGGATCAAAAGATTTAAATAGGCTAAATTAGTCCCTTTTTTAATTACCCTCTATGTCTTTTTAGTTTTTATGAAGAGACTTTATTCTCGATGTCTATTTATGAAGATATTTTAACTTTAACCTATCGAGTCTTTATAAAAATACATATAAAGTTATACAGTATGTAACAAACTCAATTGGGAAATGTTACTACATAACATTGAGAAATATATTTTCAAAAAAAAAAAAACATTGAGAAATATAATTCACGTTCCCCAAATCACCATTAAACCTTTTTAACCAAAAAAAAAAATTTAATTGAACCTATTGCTAGAAAGGATATCGAGAGTTTTTTTATAGATCAGTCACAGGAATATGGAAAGACCGAAAACTTAAACTATCTTAAACACATTTTTCATTTTTATGAATATTATATAGCAGATTTTGATTACGTCTGTCATATCTACAAAACACCTTAATTTCTGCACTTTTTTTTAATTAACCATTTACTTATAGTGATCCTCTTAAATTTGGTACGTTCGTTACACCATCAAATTTGCTTAAAACTCGAAAAGTACTTAAATATATATACAACATGATAAGATGTACCAAACTTTTATTGTTTTGTTATCTAAAGCCCATGCTCACCAGTCACCAATGATCACCGTTACCATTGGATTATCATATTATACCAATTCATTACATCTATGTAGTAGATTCTCCCTTTTCGAAACAAAAATAAAGTAATCTAAAATAGTGTTCGCAAATCGAAAGCGGATACACTGTATCATCTCAAAGGTTTTCTATTATTTCATTTATAGTTTTCTTCTAGTGGTTTTGTCCAAAGGTGTCTCAAGTTATCTACATTAGATTATTATCTTCCATATCAAAAAATTATTGCTTTCAACATTATTCAGCGTTGCAACGTTGCGGAGTCATAACCTAAATTTAAGATATTTAAGACAGTCTCATATATATGGAACTATTATAACATGAACAACATGTAATCCTTAATTCCTACAACAGTGGTCAATTTGGTTGTTAGTTGTTACTAAGAATTTAAATAAACCGGTTGTTACCAAACTCAGCGCTAAGATAATGTTTATCACGCATGACGAATCCGGTCTACTCTATAAAAGTTTGGATTGCTAATCCGGTTCATACTGATCTGAACAGAGATGATAAAGTTATGATCAAATAATATATTTTATAATGAAAAGTAGAAAACTGAGTGAAAATAACTTGGTCCAGCAAAGTAAACTGTCCGAAATCTGATAGAATAATATATCTGGAAAGCTTGAAGCCCAATTTTGTAATTTTTTGGTGAGATTTTCATTAAGGAATCTTTATATATGGGCTTTTAAAGTCACATATCCAAATGTTTCAAAAATATGATGTTGAAAATATAACTTCGGTAATTTCTTTTTGTCAACAATACTTCGTTGATCAGTTCGTTAATCAATATCACAATGAACAAAGAATAACGTGCAAGTCTAACCTCATGCACACCCAAGGAATGCGACCTGAACTGATTTTGACGTTAATTAACATTTAACAACATAAAACAGTTCAATTTAAAAAGTCTTATTTTTATTTTTATTTTTTTTTTGTCAACGTAACATCTTACTTTAGGAAATAGACATTAAATTTCCTTTTGGCGAATTGTTATTACACTGCTTGGCCTCCACGCAAGAACTACGCAAAATTATCCAAAGACATTAGAGAGAGACTTTGATTTAATTAACATACAACATCATTCTTGGTTAACAAGAACCCCACAAGGATTACATTCTTTTCGTCAAAGTATTCTAAGATAATCAAAACTTTTATGATCAAAACGTTCAAACAAATGTTCATGAGAAATCAGAATCACATTTCCTCAGATGGATTCAATCATGGAACCAAAATATACTATAAAAAATCACAATCCTTCTTTATTAGACAAGGTCAAGGCTTATCCTTCACTTAAACAAATACTTAGTTTTGGTTGCTTGCAATGCCATAATAAAGTAAACTGCCAATGTTTTTATATTAAACGCAAACATTTGCCCAAAACAGAGAACCTGAAAAAAAGACAAAAGAGAGAGAGATCAAAATCTTGATTGTCATGGAGATTAAGATTGATGAAGAAGCTGGGATCAATGGTTCTCATGGCATGATCAGAGAAGAGAAAGTTCCACTCCTAGAGGAGAGTCAAACACTAGTCCAAACTCGAGACTTTCCAGCAATAGAAAGGAACACTTGGATACAAAAGGCAATAGGTCAGACATTTCAAACCACAGCTCATCTAGCTAACCTTTTACCTACAGGGACAGTTCTTGCATACCAGATCCTATCGCCAATTCTCACAAACGCTGGACGATGCAGTTTGGCTAGCAGATTCATGACCGCATCGCTAGTTTTCATATGCGGATTCTCCTGTTTCATACTTAGTTTCACAGATTCTTACAAGGACTTAAACGGAAACGTTTGCTATGGATTTGCTACAATCCATGGCTTCTGGATAATCGATGGCTCAGCTACTCTTCCTCAAGAACGTGCCAAGATCTATAGATTACGGTTTATAGACTTTGCGCACGCTATTATGTCGCTTTTGGTGTTTGGAGCCGTGGTTATGTTTGATCAGAATGCGGTTAAGTGTTTCTTCCCCAAACCATCAGATCAAGAAGTAGAGATTCTCACAGCTTTGCCTGTAGCCATAGGAGTCATTTGCAGTATGCTGTTTGCTACGTTTCCTACTACACGCCATGGTATTGGTTTCCCCCTCTCTGCTAAATGATATTGTGATTCAAAAATGTAAATTTTCTCTAAATATCCCCTTAGGATTTTGAATCTTTCTATTTGTAAATGAGATGGTTTCTTGAATAAAATTTGTCAGTATTTGTGTAAATTGTTCCATCCGACATGTTTATTTAAGTTTAAATGAACCCCACTAATGATTATACATTCTTTTTGTCCGAAAATATCTTTTTGAAAACACAAAATCTTTTATGATAAAAAAATGTCTAGCCAGAGAGAAACATTCAAAACAAGTTGGTCACGGGAAAATCAATTCAGAATCACATTAGCAAACCTTTAAAAAATATTCGGCTATGGAACCAACATATATTCTTCTAAAAACAAAAACAAAAACTATGGTCCTCTTTGTATTAAGAAATTTACAATCCAAAAGCATTTGTTTTCGATTATTTTTTGGAATGTAATATAATGAGTTACAAAAAAGAAGCTTGGATCAAATATGAAAAATCTAGAGAAAAGCAAATTCCCTAAGCAGCAAACCAAATAACCAAATGAGAATAGAAAAACCAATAACATAAGGAAACATTAGTAAAAATTATTATTACAATTAAAAAGAAGAAGGAACTTTCTTGCGACTGTCTGGTGACTATGTGTCACGTTTTCTTGTGAGCGTGTAACGTTAAATTTTTCGGACCACTGACTAGTACAAGCGTATAACGTTAAATTTTCGGACCACTGACTAGTACGTTTTTCTTGCGATTGTGAGCGTGTAATAACGTTAAATTTTCATACTTACCTTCACTGATTATTACAAGGACTTGAGCGGAAATGTTTATTATGGCCACAACCAATGGTTTCTGGATAATCGATAGCCAAGCTGCTCTTCCTCGAGAACGCTCCAAAAGCTATAGACTCCAGTTTATAGACTTCTTGCATGCCATTATGTCGGTCCTGGTGTTTGGATCCGTGTCTATGTTTGATCCGTATGTGATCCACTGTTTCTTCCCCAAACCATCAACTGAAGCAACGGAGCTTCTCACAGCTTTGGCCATTGCCGTAGGAGTCTTTTGCAGTATGGTGTTCGCTACGTTTCCTACTACACGCCACGGTATCGGCTTTCCCCTCTCTCCTAAGTGCTAATTAAACGATGTTCTGTTCAAAATGTTTAGATTTTAAGTTCGTTACGTTGTATCTTGTCATTTACCGATCTTCTGAGATGATCTCTTGAGTAGCGTTTTTAGTAAGTTTTTTTTCTTTTCCCTTCGACATTCAGCTGTCTTCATCTAATCTTCCTTGTCATTTAGATATCAAAATCTCTGAGCAGTGATTCCGAAGCTTCTCCTACAATCGTTTTAATTTTTCAATGCGTGAGCTATTAATAGCTTCCATGTTCTTTTATTTGGACCTCAAAATGTATTTTAAGATATGTAAAACATTATAAAGTAAAATTCAGGGTATGTTTTTTAATAGCTTCCATGTTCTTTTATTTGGACCCCAAAATGTATGTTAAGATATGTAAAACATAATAAAGTAGAGTATGATTTTTAATTGGGATTACCTATGAAGGTAAAGGGTGATCATTATAAAGGTTATACTCTAACTCTCACTGACATGTAAAACTAAATTTTGTTTATTTATTTAAAATAATTTTGTGAAATTTAAATATTTTTGGATAGTTTTCATGACTTTTTTATTCTGTCCAAACGGCTAATTTAGGAAACAACTTCGTTGTTTTCTTTTTGTCACAATACGTCGTTGATTAGTTCGTTTATATTTGAAATATCATTTTACGAACAAAATGTGTAACGTGCAAGTCTGATCTCATGACACACACCCAAGGAACTCGACCTAAACTGATTGCGACGTTAGTTAACACTTAACAATAGAACTAATCGTTACACTAAAAAAAGTTTTTTTAAGGGGAAATTGTTATAACGTTGCTTGGCCTCCACGCTAGAACTACGCAAAATTATCTAAAGACGTTAGAGAAACTTTTATTTAATTAACATGAGAAACATCATTCTTGTTTAACAAGAATCCCACAAGGATTATGTATACTTTTTGTCAAAATATTCTAAGAAAATCAAAACTTGTATGATTTTAAGTTCATGGGAAATCAGAATCACATAACTAAACTTTTAAAAGAGATTCAATCTTATATGATTGATCGCAACGCTGGTTTTCGTATGCGGATTCTCCTGTTTCATACTTAGTTAGTTTGAAAAATTCTTACAAGGACTTAAACGGAAACGTTTGCTCTTGGATAATCGATGGCTCAGCTGTTCTTCCTCAAGAACGTGATTAAAAAATATAAACTCTTCTCTTAATCCCTTTTAGTATTCTGAACCGCTATTCTATTGTGTCTTGAATAGATTATCTCAGTCTTTGTTCCATCCGACATATTTATTTCAGCTGACTTCATTTAAAAAAGAACCTCACTAACGATGCATTCTTTTTGTCGGAACAAAACACTTTAAAAACGAAATTTTTATGATTAGAAATATGACTAGCCAAAGAGAGAAACATTCAAACAAGTTGGTCACGGGAAATTCAATTCAGAATCACACTACCAAACCTTTAAAAAAGATTCGGTGATGGAACCAACAACATACATTCTTCTAAAAACAAAAACAAAAAATTACTATAATCCTCTTAAGTAAATTGTAATCCTTTTTTTTTGTTCAACTAAGTAAATTATAATCCAAAATCATTTGTTTTTGTAACTATTTATTTATTGGAATGTAAGAAAAAAAATTAAAAAAAATGAAGAAGCATTTAGTTAGATCAGATATGAAAAATATGAAGCAAAGCACCGAAGCAGCAAATCAAATTGCCAGAAAAACCAATAAACATAAGGAAATATAGTAAAATTTATTTTTACAATAATAATTTAAAAAACAATCACTTTCTTTTGACTGTGTCCGTGCCACGTTTTTCGCGCATCACGTTCAATTTTCGGACCACTCTCAATAGTTCGATTCCTTGTAAGCCATCCAGTTCAAGATAAGCCCTCAGTCATCAAACCTAACCAACCCTTTTAAAGCTATTCAATGATGTAAACCAGAATATCCTAAAACAGAAACAAAAATCAAAGCCAACACTTCACTTAAAACAAATACTTATGTTTCCTTGCGCATAAACCCAAGCATTTGCCAGAAACAGAGAAACAACAAAGAAAGAAAAAAAGAGATTTTGATGGAGAAGCTGGAATCAACGGTGCTGGTAGCAATATCAAAGCAAAGAAAGTTCCACTCTTGAAGGCTCAAGAGTTTCCTGAAATAGAAAGGAACACTGATACACAAGGCAATAGGTCAGACATTTCAGACCACTGCTCATCTAGCTAACCTTTTACCTACAGGGACAGTCCTCGCGTACCAGGTCTTATCGCCGCTTCTCACAAACGGTGGACACTGCGATTTAGCAAGCAGATTCATGACAGAAATGCTAGTTTGCATCTGCGGACTCTCTTGTTTCATACTTACCTTCACTGATTCTTACAAGGACTTGAATGGAAATGTCTGCTATGGATTTGCCACATCCAATGGTTTCTGGATAATCGATGGTCAAGCTGTTCTTCCTCGAGAACGCTCCCAAAGCTACAGACTGCAGTTTATAGACTTCGCGCATGCCATTATGTCGGTTCTGGTGTTTGGAGCCGTGGCTATGTTTGATCAGAATGTGATCCACTGTTTCATCCCCGAACCATCAGCTGAAGCAACGGAGCTTCTCACAGTTTTGCCCATAGCTGTAGGAGTCTTTTGCAGTATGATGTTCGCTAAGTTTCCTACTACACGCCATGGTATCGGTTTTCCCCTCTCTGCTAAGTGCTAAACAATGCCCTGTTCCAAAATGTAATATTGTCGCAATCTTAATTTCACAACGTTGTATCTTGTCATTTACCAATCCTCTGAGATAATTTCTTGAGTAGCGTTTTTGTAAGTTGTTCCCTTCCACATGTTTTTTTCAGCAGTCTTCATCTAATCTTTCTTGTCATTTAGATCTCCAAATCTCTGAGAAGAGATTCTGAAGCTTCTCCTACCATCGTTTTATCCAATGTGTGACCTATGAGTAGCTTCCATGTACCTTTATTTGGTATACAACCATCAGCCACTATCTCGTTAACTAGTTGAACAGCTTTCTGAAATTCACCCTTTTTGCACAAACACTTCACCAAAGAGTCTAATGTTTCAACCTCCACGGAGATGCCTCGGCTCCTCATGCTTAGATAAAGAGTAAACGCGCGACTTGGATAATTCGTACAAAGACCTCGGACCACTTCATTACTTGTCTTAACATGGATGTTCCAAGTTAAACGATTTGGAGTTATTCCCCCAAGAATCATCTCGTCGAGGAAATTAGCAGCTTCACGAAACTTGCTGATACCACAGAACCCATTAATTACTTTCCCATATAATCCAGCATCAGGTTTCAAACCTTGAAGATTCATTCTATCGAGAAGTTCAACGGCTTCTTGAATCTTCTGCTCCTTACAGAGACCGGTGATCAAAGTGCTATAGGTTACCATGTTCGGCCTGCAGCCTTTGGCCATCATCACCTCAAATAACTCCATGGCTTCCATAGCTCTCCCGTCTTTGCAAAGACCGTCCATTAAAGAACTGTAAGTGAAAACATTCGGCTCGATGCCTCTGCTTTTCATCTCTTCTAAATATCGCATCGCCTCCTCAACATCTTTAGATCCACACAAACCGTGAATCATAGAAGTGTAGGTAACAACAGTTGGTGCACAGTCTTTCTCAACCATCTCTTTAAACAGCTTCTTCGCCTCATCTATCCTTCCAAATCTACACAAACCACTAATCAAGGTTCCATACGTGTACGAATCAGGATCACACCCTCGTTTAGGCATCTCATGAAAGATCTTAAGACCAGCATCCATTGTCCCGTCGTTTCTGCAGAGAGCTTTGATCAAAACATTGAGAGATGCCACGGTAGGAGGCAAACCAATCTCTCTCATGTTCTTGTAAAACTTAAAGGCCAGCTTTAACTGATTCTCTTCCACGAGAATAGCAAGAACAGTGACGTAGGACTTATGGCTAGGATCACAATCAAAATCCTTCATCTTGTGAAAAACCCTCAAAGAATCAAACGGCCTATGAACCCGACCATACCCTCTGCATATCGAAAGCAATACCTCTTCACCAACAACACAGTTCTCAAACTTCATTCTTGCAACAAGATCTTCAGCTGCAATGAATTTATTGGCAGAGACCAGCCTCGAGACCATATAACCGAAAGAAATCTGATCATGTAAGAACCCATTTGCGTATTCCGCTGTCGCTGAATCAAAAACTGCAGTCAACTTCTCCACGTCTTTCTCAGCTCGCATCAGTTTGATAACCTGAGAAGGTGTGATGTTTTTCGACCACTTGAACATCTTCCCTTTGCTACCCATTACTAAATAAAAACGACACCTTTGCAATAATAAACGATTATAGAGAAACACAAGAATGGCGACTTGCAAAATCTCAACTAGGCATTACGTCGAACAGTTTGTGCGCATCAACGCTTCTACAAGCCTCAGACGAAATCAATCAAAAGACAGGCCAGATAAATCACTTGATCGTCAAATCCAAAGAACAGAGAGAGAGAGCAATCAACAGGTACATACGATGATCTCACTAAGATTTTTTCTCGTCTGTATCTGAAAATTACGCGGGTCAATCCAAACACTTCTCTGAGTTATATACATATAACCCTTCTCAGTAACTCACGAAAATCGAATGAAGCAGCAATGAAACTCTTTAATGAATTAAATCGCCGGAGAAGAATCAATAACACGGCGAGTTCAGACTGCCGACTTAGACTGAGGTTTATAGATGACAAAGGCGGGTTTTTCCAATGGAAGAAGACTTATGAGTCTCCAAGTGATTTAGAGGGTCTCTACTCCGCAACAAAATATAATTAACCAATTTTAAAACAAATCTATAACTATTTATGTATTTTCAAATTTAGGATTATTACTAAACACCCAAAATGAACAAAACTGAACTATATATACAGTATATTTTGTCATTCAAAAATTCCTGTTAATATTTTTTGTTAGATTTGGTTACAAATTTGAAAATATTTTACAATTTACAACCCAAGAACCACTATTTTAGTGATAGTATGTTGTTTAAAGGGGTATATTGAAACTAAAATTTTAGATAACTTGAAAAGATTTGAGTTTTAATGAAATTTTTGATGATTTAATATATATTGGAAAAATTGATATGACATGATATTAAAATTATATGAAATCTCATCTAAAATAATAAGATTTGATTTTCTATGTTTTTAACTAACAAACTGTACCAAATAATTTTAAAATACTCAACATTTTTTAAAATCCACTATTTTAAGTATTTCTAATAGCAGTGGATTTGATTTAGTTTTTACAAATTCTTGATTGAATAACATGAAAATTTAAGTGATTTTAATTGGGTTTATATAAATTTTATGTTCAATAACATAGATTTTAGTAAGAGTTTTAGAAATTACTAGTTGAATAATAAATAATTTTAAAATAACTATAAGGTTTTATAAAATTTTAGTTTCAATACACTCCAGTTTTGGATTAGAAAAAAAAGAAATAAATTTGATAAAATCCTTTAAAATTTAGGAAAATCTTTTAAAATTTAGAAAAATCTATGCGCTGCAAATCAAATGCCGACAAGTATTTTTATAAAAATCTACTTTCTTGTGACTCTGTCACGTTCTGTAATCTGAAGACCACTCAGCACAAGGTTAATAAGAGGAAAAAATATCTACAAATCTTCAATTTATTCTATTACCTTTAAAATGGCAAAAGAACAAAAAAAACTACATGAAACAGATGATGATGATGTGGAATTTCGATTGGCCAATACTCACTCTGTCTCTTAAGCCATCCACCTCAAGATAAGATGGGTCCTACTGTCATCCAATCTAAGCCAATATCTCACGATTCTTATCTAAGCGCATCACTCTTCACCGTTGGATCATATTACACTATCGCTCCCACTGTAATATCATATGACCGCGACACACATGATTAACACTCGCTTGAGATAACAAAAATCATAGTAGCCGTCCGATCACAGAGTATCCACTCTTGAAATACGCGAAAACCTCATATCTCGCTTCCTTCCCTCTCACTGCCACACAAATCGTCGAAACCACTGAATCAGATGGAGTCACGCGTGCTGTTACGCGCCACCGCATCGGTCGCCGGAGTACCGCAATTGAGGAGGCCAGTCCGAGCGATCTACCGTCAATTCAGCACCGCGTCGTCGTTCACGGCCGCTAAGCCGATCGGTTCAATCGGAGAGGGAGGGAATCTGATCTCCGGTCGTCAGCTCCGTCCGATTCTCCTTCTCGATATCTCGCCGGAGAAAAGAGAGATTCTCAAGCCGGTTAGAGCCGCCGCTGCCGAAGGTGGAGATTCCGCTGGGTAAGAAGAGGTCCGTTTCTGGCTCACTCGGTGTTTACTCGTTTGACTCGGGTGATCTGACTCGTTTCGTTTTTCGCAGGGAGGCGAAAGTCGGGATCCTCGCGAAGAATCCATGGCTTGTTACCGGATTCTTCTTCTTCATGTGGTAAGTTGTCCCTCATGCGCTTATTATCCTAAAAACCTGCGCACGTTATTAGGCGCAGTATAGCAGTGTGATTTTACCGCCAAATTTCGGCGAGTGTATGTTTACGGTTTCACCCCTTTTGGTTTGGGTTTATTACAGGTACTTCTTGAACGTGATCTTCAACATCCTTAACAAGAAGATCTATAATTACTTCCCTTATCCCTAGTAAGTAAACACATTTCACTAATGTTTGACATAAGTAATCACATTTACATTGGTATCTAAAAGTTTTGAATCTCTAATTGTTTTGTAACTTATAGTTTAAAGTAATTGACTATATTTTATATGATCGAACCATATTCTGTTGGTCCAACTAAGAATCGAATCGGAATATTTTATAATGAGAATCCCAAATATTTTTTTAAATATAAATCAATTTTGTCCCTTTTCAGTTTTGTATCGGTGATTCACTTGTTCGTTGGAGCTGTCTACTGCTTGTTGAGCTGGTCCGTGGGACTTCCTAAACGGGCCGTAAGTTCATCTCTTCATTAGCTCACTATATTTTTTGTTACCCGACTTCAAAAGGCACGCAACACTATTGAACCAAAAATTAAAAATGTGGGCAAAAAGTGGGGCGTTCCGAGAATCGAACTCGGGACCTCTCGCACCCAAAGCGAGAATCATACCACTAGACCAAACGCCCATTTGAAGTACCTAATTACATTATATGTAATTAACCGTACAAACTCTTGATGGTTGCAGCCAATTGACTCGAACCTCCTCAAGGTATTGATTCCAGTTGCAGTCTGTCACGCCTTAGGTCATGTCACTAGCAACGTTTCTTTCGCAGCTGTTGCTGTCTCCTTCACTCACACCATCAAAGGTAACACAAATCTACTTCAAAAGCATTTGAGCCTAGTTAATCTATGCATATATACAACAAAATCTAACATTAACTTATCATGTCCAAAACGCAGCGCTTGAGCCGTTCTTCAATGCGGCTGCTTCTCAGTTCATTCTCGGACAATCCATTCCCATAACACTATGGTTGTCTTTAGCTCCTGTTGTTCTCGGTAACCAACTCTTTTTCTTTTTTTTATCATCTTTAATGTTTCTTGTTTCCTAAGTTTCTTCGGATTAACCTTTTAAAAACTTGCAGGAGTTTCAATGGCTTCGCTTACCGAGCTATCATTCAACTGGCTCGGTTTCATCAGTGCTATGATCTCAAACGTCTCTTTCACTTACCGAAGCATCTTCTCCAAGAAAGCCATGGTTCTTGATTCTGTTCTTGACATTACTAATTAATCAAGTGTCTCACGTTTCGGTTTTTGAAACAAGATTTTGTTTATTTTTTTTTGCAGACTGATATGGACAGTACAAATGTTTACGCTTACATCACCATCATTGCTCTCTTCGTCTGCATTCCTCCTGCCATCATCGTTAAGTCTTTTGAATTCACTCATGTTAATTCTCAATCAGTTACGTGTAGGAGAAGCAATTTTATTTATTAGGGTTGTTGGTATGTGTCATGGTTAGGTTGAAGGGCCTCAACTGTTGAAACACGGTTTTAGCGACGCGATTGCTAAAGTTGGGATGACTAAATTCATCTCTGATCTCTTCTGGGTTGGAATGTTTTACCATCTCTACAATCAGGTAATTTCAAATTCAAATTTCAAATCGTGCTTTTAATAAAAGGAAATTAGTAAAACTTGAGAAAATGGCGGTTGCAGTTGGCTACTAATACCTTGGAGAGGGTCGCACCGCTGACACACGCGGTTGGAAACGTTCTGAAACGTGTGTTCGTGATCGGTTTCTCCATCGTTATCTTCGGTAAAATATTACAACCTCTCTTTTTCTTTCATGTTTCCGTCATTAAATTTTACACGCCTAATTAGATGGTCCCGAATGAAACAACTAATGTATAATAATAAATGACTTATTATTTGCAGGAAACAAGATATCGACGCAGACAGGTATAGGAACTGGAATAGCCATTGCTGGAGTTGCTATGTACTCCATCATTAAGGCCAAGATCGAAGAAGAGAAACGGGTCAGTTCATTATTCACGAAAAATTAATAAAAAGTATACGTAAAATTTGAGAAAAGATGATTAATGCTAGAAATGGTTTTTTTTTAACTTCAGAAGGGAAAGACGGCGTAGAGAACGGAGGCAGACGGCGGTCGAGGGGTGAATAAACATTTTCCTCCTATGAATATTTTATATAATAAATAACCAAAATGCAATAGTATGTTGTATTGTACAATCAACCATTGTTTTCGAGTTTTTCCCTCTGTTTTTTGTTTTTACTTTCTTAAAGTTATATACTATATCATTTTTTATTCTGCTTCTTCTGTTTTTAATGGAGAACATTCTCCATTCCTTCTGATATGCAATTATCTTGACGGATAAAGAGCATAATAATTTATTAAATTGCTCTTTCTCATGGAGCATATTGCATATACCCAATGTCGTAAATTTAAAGATTATTATTTCTTACAAATTTTTTTTTTTCAAGTTTTGTTCTTGGTAATACTGGCAATTTTAATTCAAAGCTAATTAGCAGCAAATAGATTAGTTTATGTACCTTATATATACCATGTGTTGGGTAGAGCATCACACATTTCTGATATGGGATTCCTAACCATCTCAAAATTGGGATGTGTTCTCGAGTTTGATTACGGTGGATTGTTACAAACACAGAATATTAATCTCAGCTTTTTTTTTTTCGTATAACTACATTTTAATTTGGGAAATTGGCTATAATAACCATAAAAAAGTCAAAAAATAACCATAACAATTGATGTGCTATAATATTCATTGTATTTTTTACAATATATACGAAAATATATTTTTTTTTTCTCCTCTTCTGTAATCTTTTTCCCTTCTCCTCCATTTCCTTTCCGGATTCTGATTTCCTCTCCTCTCCTTCCCCTCTCTTCTCCTCTCCATTCTTCCCCTTTCCCTCCCCTCCCTTCTCTTCCTTTCACTTCTCCTTAAAGAATAACAAGTTATACTATATAAATTATACTAGGTGATCGGCCCGCACCATGTGCGGGCTATAACATATTTTATATGTTTAATATTTGAAATATATTACATATTATTTTATAAATATTTACATATATGATTGACTAAACATTAAGTATTACTGTTGTATGCACATTTGACAATTCAAAATAAGTAAAAATCATAAAATATTTCAATAAAAAAAGTTACATAAACGTAAGAACATATAATAAAGTGTAATAAAATATATAAAAACATAAACTAAAAAATATTATCAAAAACTTCTTTGTAGACGACATTTATAGTTTTCTTTTGCACATTCGCTTCTTTGTCTGTGATGAGAACTTTAAGTCCAGATCGAGATTTAACTCTAGATAAAGCAACATATAGCTGATCATCAGAGAAAACTGGTCTAGGTAGAAACAAACCGATATTCTGAAGTTTGTCTTTGGCTTTTATTGATGGTCATTGCGAAAGCTAAAGCTAAAGGAAATTGTCTACGACGCATTCTAAAAGGAAACCTAGTGTTTGGTGGTGTGACATATATCCTAGGGATTAAAACCTTTTGACCAATCAATTTTTCATTTCCTGTTAAAATTCTACCTTCTACCACATGTCGAGCCGTCTGAGTAATAATAAGCCTAGTCCCATTACATATACCACCCTTAGGATCAATATTACCTTCTACCACATGTCGAGTTCTAATTTTGTACTCTTGTTTGAATATAATCTTTGGCACCCACGCTAAACACTTGTTCAATAACATCTACGTGCAAACATGTAAAGTAATAAACAATGAAAAATTAAAAGAAAGGGATGGAATATCTTCGAAACATAAAAACGTAAATATAGAAGAAGTGTTTTAGTATTACAAGATGTTTTTGTCGAGTTTATCATCCAAAATCTCAGAAAAATCACTGAAATATTTTTCTGGGAATTCTTTTGGGAAATCACAAACTGGTTTGATAACACTTGTTCGGGTCAATTCCATCTTAAACGGCAACGGAGAGGTTCTGTAATCCCCACCATATTTTTTTAACTTTGAAAGCGTTGATGCTAACAGCCACACCTTCTTTCAAAGCTTGTTGATGTTTTTGTATAAATTCTTCAACCACTGTTGCATGAATCCTGGTTCTCTGGAAAAATTAGAAATAAAAAATCTTGTTACAACTTTGAAAGTAAAACATTAGAAAAAAAATATAGACATAAAAACAAACCTCTTCATCAACCAGCACCATTTCAATTGAATTACCAGCAGTAGTTTTAAAAGAATTCGAAAAAAACTTGGATATGTACTTTTATCTTTTGGGTGTAGCTAGCAGAATCGAGATTGTTTAACATCACAAAAGAAGATTTTTTAAGGCAGACAAGAGCCATTATTATGTGTGGTATGTGATAAAAAAAATCGAATGAGGTACATTCTAAAAACGTTTTACATAAATAGTTGGAGAAAATCAATAAATTAGCATATAATGTACTTTTCTAAAAACAATTAAAAGTCGTATATTTATGATATAGTACATTCCAAAATTATGAAAACATATATTATAATTAGGGGTCAGTAGTAATGATGATGGTGTCAATCAAAATATTTCAGCATCATAGTAAATTGTATTTCTTTTTATCTAATTTTTGATATATTTGGTATTAATTGAAGATATTAACAGAATTCTACTTTTGGTGCTTAGAAGTTAGTCTCTTTATATTGTGTTTTCCGTTTATTTCCTTTCTATATTTATATTTAGTAACGAAATTAAAACTCATCAAATTAAGGTAAATCAAAGTTTTAATTATCTCGATTTTAATAATATCACTTCTTCTATAAATAAGTATTTTCTATATGTAGACCCAAAATTAAAACCCATTGCATAAGAAAGGAAAACTAAATTATTTTTTTGGTACCTTGGAAGCAGGCTCATTTGATTCCTTCTCAAGTTTAGATTCTCCCAAGTTCACGTTTTTTGAGTCTGAAATGAGTCTGGAACCTGCAATTTTTTTAAAAAAAATGAACCGTAATTATTTTGTTTTAATAAAAAAAACGTGAGAACTAAGTCATCATGGTGCAACGATTTTTTAACTTGGATCTATGCGTGGGTGCAGATTTACTTAATGAGGAGATGAATTATAAACCTTTCTTCAGGGAATGCACGTTTGTTTCTTTTCTTCTCGTGATTCACTCCAGTTGGCAAGCCCTCATAATTGAGAAACAGAGTTTACGGCTTAAGAATGAATGGTAAGCTGCTGCTGGATGAGAAGGCATGAACCCTGGTGATGGAACCGCCATAGATTTCAACTGTTGCTCCATCTTCTCCTTATCAGCCTTCAACACCAGCTTCTCTTCCCTTAGCTCGTTCTTCTCCGCCTATACGCAAAAACCGGAATCAAATCAGGCTCATTAGATAATGGGGTTTAGGTAGAGCTAAAAGTTTCACGAAAATCAAAGTGAGAAACCAACCTTGAGACTCTTGATCTCTTCTAGAAGTTTCTGGTTGGTTTCTTTGAGATCAAGAGCTTCACCTCTGAGCTGATTTACAACCCGGATTGCATCATCTAGAATCGCTGATTTATCCGTCTTTGGAGTCCTTGTAGGCTCAAGAACAGAGCTCAATTCCATAAATCTGAAAGCATATTGAGACTGTTGAACAACATTGTGCAAACAATTTATCTAAAAACATACGCATTAGGCAAAGCTCTGAACATACTTCTCGTTTAGCTGTTCCCTTCTCTGTTTCTCACGACAGGCTTTGGTTCCCGGCTTGCTACATGATCCAGTTCGTCTCCTGTTCATATACAATAATCAGATCAAACACAAACAACATAGCTGATGCTAAAGATAGTCCCTGTAGAGGACACAAGTGCTATACCGAATTGAAGCCAATCCTACAAGTATGAAAGTCGGAACAGTAATAAAAAAACGAAGGAGAGATGATCATCAGTGCGTACATCAAAAGCTTAGTGTAGTCTTGGATGATTATATGTTTGAGTTCTTTTTAATGAAAAAACCTCAAAAATAATAATATAAATAAAAGTAACATTTTCACCCAAAATTTTCTCAAATGACTTCAACTAATCGAACAGTTAAGACTCTTCACGACGAACACATGTAAGAGATATGATAAAAAAAGGAATCCAACACAATTGCAAAAGATTTGGGTGCGTAAATTTTGTTAAAGGAAGACAAAAGCTTAGTGTAGATGCTTTACCCAAATCGACCAGTCTTCCAAGCTTGACCGTGCTTCCCACTCCCACCAATTCTGGAGATACTAACGAAATCCTCCTCGTTGAACAGCATCGTTGTACGCCAAGAGATAAGGACCCTACCACTGGGACAAAAAGTTTGACAGTAGAGAATCCGACCAGTGAACACGGCGATCAAGGCAGAGACGGACCCGGGTAGCTCCGGCGTCGTCAGCGTTCTATATAAGCTCCTTTAGCACGGTGGTGCCTTCCGGGTAGTTGAATAAAACCTCCCGAATTCGTCAGGTCAAATCCACCTTCTGCCCAAAATCTTAGAGAAGAAGTGAATCCATCTTCGATTAGAATGTTCTGTTGTTGTTGCGAAATTGTGAGAGCCCCATGGATATAAGTCAAGAAGATGAGATTGCGAAGTCGGTTTTTATCTTCTTTGAACAGGTTTCCCAATCGCGTTATTAGAGATACTGTTTCAAGAACCGAATTGAAAAACAGAATAGAGAATCAAAACTTACAGCAGTTAGCCAGAAATCAGGATCGTTTTGATGAATTTCGTTACGCTTGTCATAGAGGCGAATCGCTATTAGGGATGATGAGGCGAAACCTAAATTTCATTTGATGGTCTGTTTGTTGTTTTTAAAGATGAGGTGTTAAAAATTACCATATTTATCTACAAAATGAGTCATGTCATATTTACATGTCATCAATTATTTGCACTAACTTTAGCTGTGGAGATGACAAGTAAGCTTTTTTCACTATTGTTACTTCTCAAATAATATGTAGATGGATGAAACAATTATTTTTGTAAATAGTATAGTATGACAATAAAAACATTCAAGTACTATACTATATTAGTTTTGTCAGAAACAAAACATATATTATAGCATAGTTCAGAAGAAAATATGGATAACATGTGTTTCTATGATATTTTCACGTGAATAAAAAAAAGATTTTAGTAATTTTCATGTGGATCATGATTAGTTTGTATATTATTTAAATTTCATGGCTATATTTTTTGATTGTTTTTTAAATATGGTTATAGAACGAAAAAACCCTTTTAATTTCGTAATCTGTTGCGGAAAAAAAAACTATATTTTAATTAATCCCAGTGTAATGAATTTCTCAAATTAAATTTCTCTAAAAGCGTGTAACATACTTTCGGTGGACGATCATTCGAATTGCTTTTCCGTAAATCAAGCAACCAAACTGATTAAACTCTTTAGTCTATTTCCGTTGCTTTCTCTTCAAATTCTTTTTTTTTATCAACTCATCATTTTTTTTTACCAAACGTTTGGTAACTTAGATATACATATATAATCACTAATTCACTATAATCGACCAACATAAACCACCAAAATATGGCTCAATCACGAAACCGAACGTCTCTTCTCTGTTTCACCTTCTTCATCATATCTTTCTTGCTAACGCAAACACAAGCAAGAAACCGCCAAACCTTAACCGAACTAACCGATCTAAACCAGGATTTACAAGTGCTGGAGAATCACCGAAGCACAACGGATGAGGAAGAAGAGCAAGAGCCAGTCTTTGTCCGAGATACAGGACATGGTTATGGTCTCTATGGTCATCATACGAGCCATAGTAACAATGAAGAAGATAACTCAAACGAGAACGCCGACACCGATCAATTCTACTATAGAAGCGACGCTTTTGGAAACCGCAACGGTAGATTCTAAGAAAACCAATGCCTAGAGTCGGGCACAAAAGGTCTGAAATAAAGCAACATCAACTGTTATAAAATCAAGTCTAAAATGTATATTTTTCTCCAGTTATATATGAATTAGAAAATGAAAGCAAAAATATTAGAATTCTCGTTTCTTGATTTCGTATGCGTTAACTGATCAAATATAATATGCAACACATAGGAGAACTAATCATGCAATAAATTATAAATGAATTTAATGAATTTATTCGAATTATAATAGATTTGAAAAAAAAAATAAACTGTTGTAAAATCAAGTCTAAAATGTATTTTTTTTTTCTCCAGTTATATGGGAATTAGAAAATGAAAGCAAAAATATTAGAATTCTCGGTTATTGAATTCGTATGTGTTAACTGATCAAATATATCATATGCAACACATAGGAGAATTAATCCTACAATAAATTATAAATGAATTTATTCGAATTATATTAGATTTCTTTTTTTTTAAAAAAGGTAATTTATATTACCTCCCTTTATACGCATCAACAACAACGAGAAGAGAGAGAGAGATGTGGTACCAACAAAGATTCGAACTGAGGTCTCATGAGAGGATCTAAACTTTGGAGACCAACCACATGGACCTGAATCGATTTGGTACTAATCAACTAAAAACCTGTTATTTATCTTCAACATACCGGGTCAAATTCTACTAGACCGGATCTTGTTCATTGGCACAACCAGACAAAAGTAAGTTGGTTTGTTTTTTCTCGGTGATTAGGTGTTACCGTGTTAACGTCTTTTTCCTTCAATTGATTTTGGTTTCGCAATCCTAACTATTATTTGAAAAGCATGTTTACTAAAAAAATTATATATGTCAATACCTAATGAAAAGTTAGTGTAAAACAATGCCATATCATAAATGTGATATGGCAAATTTCCTAAAATAAACGAAATATTTTAATTGGTTAAGTTAAAACTAAATAAATCTCATTTTTAAATAAGAAAAAAGTTTATATCATATGTAAATGAATTTTCATTATATAGCAAGAATTTGAAATTATAAATGAAACAAAAAAATAAACAAAGAGAAAAATAAATTATAAATATCCTCTTAGCCAATTTTTTTTATTATAATATTGTATATATATGAATAAAAAGTAGAAGTAAAAGTAAAAATGAATCTTTACGACTTTGGTTTTATATACAAATCTCATGTTATATCTTTGATTTAAAGCATCTCCAACTCACTTTTATTTTAAATGTTCTAATTTAGAGAAAAAAGAAAGGTTGTTACTTTTTTCAACTATAGAGGAAAAAATAATAATCTTTCTTTTTCTATAAAATAGAAATAAGTTGGAGAGAAGTCCACTTATATTTTAGAAAAAAAAAATACATTTGATATGATCTTAATATTAAATATATTATTAAATGTTAAAAAAATATGAGTCAAAGAAGAGAAGAAAAAATAAGAATAGTTTTGATAGATTTTATGTTTTTATTTCAAATACTTAAAAATATTATCTTACACATATTAATTATTTCATGCATATATTTTGTCCAACATATTAAAACATTATTTCATGAATCAAACTTTTTGTATATGTTGTGATCCATTATATTTTGTATTAACAAATATACTAAAGTTAGAAACAGATCAACTCTTAATTTTTAATATAACAATCAAATATTAAATATATTATTTTACACCTTAAATCATACATAAATAAGTTTAGATCTGATTGGCTAAAACGATTATGTTACAGAGAGTTTGTGGAGGCGAGCGATTGCGGATTATTAAAACTTTTGACGAAGAGATGAGCGGAGAGCTACCAGAGAATTTTATTAAATATGATTTCACAAATTTTATAATAAATATTTATAATATTTTTATTGAGAAACCATATATCTTAAAACGCTGAAAATAAGAAATTTTGATTAAATACAAAACGATAGAAACGGTTTTCGTGATTGTTCTTAAACACCAATAACTGCATCGCATAAAACATAACATTTGCGGAAAATATAAAAAAACTTACCAACACCTAAATATTACAATTCACTTATTTCTAACTCATACCTAAATGCATAAATATACTTATTATTTTTTAAAAAAAATCAACCATACGTTATAATAGTATGTATTACAAAACATATACTTTGTTATTTTCTTTTAACACATAAAAGCTATACTTTGATTTTTTTACAAATGTGCGTGTAGATATAAATATCAATTGTGTAAAAGTCAAACTTGCATGCAAATTTGTCGTGCATACATTTTGTTAACCTCGATTACACTCTAATTTTAATTTGAGTTGTTAGACAATTTATCTTTTTTTAAAAAATCTTTATATGTCCTAAGAGCGCTCTTAGGGTAAGGAAATATGATAAAATTTATTTTGGTTTAATTAGTAAGAGGTCAAGGAAAAAAAATACTTAATATATATATATATATATATTGACAAGATTATATTGTGTAAGGAGAAAAAAAAATATAGTATAGATAATATTCAAAACATATTATAAAAAAATTAATTATTATTTAATATAACTTTTATATTTGTAATTATTTGTTAATATAAACGCTAGAAAAAATAAAAAATTTCAAAAGACACATAGAGATAGAAAACGTTTATGTGATTATTGTTGAACACTAAAACTGTATATGTATATAAACATAACGTTTACATAATGTATAAGAAAATTAATCAATACTTAAATATTACAACTAATTATGTCTAAAAAAATTATACATGCACATGCGTGCAAGCCAAAAATAAAAATTAAACAAATAATTATAGATTTTTATGTTTTCTTATTTATTTAGTTATCATATTTACATTTTTTGATCTAAGGAAATATGTTAAAATTTTAGTTAATATTTTTTATCTTCAATTTCTTTTGAAATTTTTAATATTTTATATTTCATTTTTCATTTTTATTATTAATACATAATTAATTATATACAAATGAAATATTTTTAATACTATACTAATAATAATTAAACATATTAGATATTTTATAGCGGATGACAAAAAAAAAGATATTTTATAGCCTGCACACAGTGCAGGCCGATCACCTAGTTAAATAATATGAAAGTTTGTTAACTTTGGATAGAGAGGTTTTGCTTATAACATTTTATTCGTTTCATTCTAAAATTAAATTTTTGTTTCAGATTAATTGTTGTTTTATGTTTGAATGCAAAATTTTGATAAATTTCACTTTTATCATTATTTTATTAATTGGTATCAAATAACATAATGTATTAATTACAGGTGAAATAATAAATTTAATTTTTTAATATATGTAAACTAACTTTAAATGACAATATAATATAAAATAGAAGGATATATTTTCTCGTTTTTTCATGTTTAAAAAAAATATTTTTTCCAAAATAAAAACCATTAATGACAATCCCAGCTTTTCGATTTGGTGCTACAGTATCGAAGTTATTCGAAAAGTAAGTAAACTATTCTATTTTTTATTTACCCAGTTTATTTTACAGTTTTGACACTAACCACGTGGACCAAATCCGATTTGGTGCTACAGTATCGAAGTTATTCGAAAAAATGAGATTGTTTATTTGTATTTCGTAATTATTGTATTCATTCAACATAAATGTTCTTAAGAATCAAGCAAAACTATCGTAGATACAACTCGTTTCAGCATATACAAATTGAGCAGATATTGTATAACCTGTTTTCTTTCATAGTAGTTTAAAGTACTAGTTAAGATTTTCAACTAAAACATAAACAAAAATTATTATGAAACTATTACTGTATAAAAAAAACACACAGCACCATATTTCAGTGAGGAGTGAGAGAAAATGGATGAGGCCAGTAAGGGAATTTATTGGATCGTAATGGGCCTCCTTGTGTGGAAAATAGAGTGCAAATTTGGGTGCTGATATCAAAAACTCCATAGTTATGTCCCACGAAAGCTTAAGACCTAGAGATGAGCTCGCTGGAACACACCAAGCTTCACCATGTCCAAGAAAAATACAAAGAGAACCAATGTTTTCTTTGTAATAGAAATCTACAGATCTCTAAAATCCTCATCTTTAGTTTCTTTCACTTTAAACACCATGAAAAGCTTTGTTCTGTGCATGACTGTTCTCGCTCCATAGTGTAGCCAGATCTCGTCTCCGTAGTACCTTTCATAACATAAGAGAGCCATTAATGAAAAAAACGAAATCTTTTTTTATATGTAATAAATGTGATTTTTACAAAGGTGTCCTAAAATTATCGTCTATGCCCTAGGGGTTCGCGATCATAAGACAAGAGGGATTAAGTGAAACGGTCTATGTAAGAGTTTCAAATGTGATGAATGGCATGCTACTTAGTTAATTATTTATGTTTTCATGTTTTGTAAACGTGATGAAGCTATTTTCAAATGTAACTACGTTGAACTGATCATACAAACAAGAACCAATTGTAGTAAAATATTAAACCATAAATATTATATCAAGAAGAAAGAAATCTTACGATGACGTTTTTGTGGCTTCAAGATTCGGCTGAGAAGTTGAGACATTTTTTGTTTCTAAAATCTCTATTTTATGTTTCAGGTGACTTCTCGTGTGGGTTTTTCCCCGTTTTCAGTATAGAAGTAAACGCTTAATATTATATAAGAAAATATTGAAAAAGATATTTTTTTTAACAACAAACCTTTCATTTTTTTTATACAAATATAACAGAAAATATATTATAGTTTTATACAACTGTGATGTGACGATGTGTTGGCTCTTAGGAAAAGTGGTGGAATCATGAAACAAAAACCCTTCTAAATTAGTAGTAAATAATATCATTGGGATTTATGGTGGTTTACAGAGATATGGGATCAATCACGTAATTATGGATTAATTGTAGATTCTTAAATTGCTTGCGTTATCAGACTTAAGTTTGCTAGATACTTGGGGAATGAAATCACATAAGAACATAAGGAAAAAGGTGGGATCAATTAGGTCCCAATAGATGTTATAACTCTCTTGTACTTTGTATGATTTTCTGAGTTTTGGTCAACATCCATATAATTTACTATTGTATGATGTTACTATTGTGAAATTACTGAGCATTGAGTAAGAGGTACCGATACTTAATATCTTCAACAACAACAAAATTCATTATCTTCTGTAGGCACTTTTTTTTAGGGTTAAAGTCTCTTTCCTAATGCAATTCTGTTTTTTTTTTTGAACAATCATTGTGCAATTTTTGGATTCAAAGTGTAAGATATTTCAGCCAAGAAGAATTTGATCGTGGAATCTTTGCATTCAAAGTGTAAGGTATTTCAGTTTAGTAGTTTACTAATACTTTCAAAATTGAAAATTATTATTTCTTCTCTTTTTTTTGTTCAATCATTTCTTTTGTTCATGCATGACACTGATGAAAAACTTGATATACAGAATGTTGAATAGTGGCAGTTTATTGTTTATCTTCTCCCTTTTTAGCGTTAGATTTGAAATCAAATAAATAATTTTACACATTAGAAGAGTATAATTAATTATTTACAAATAAATAGTTCGCTTCAAGAGTACATTTCGAATCAACCATGGACTGAAAATAAAAAAAAGACTGTTTCATGTCGAACAAATTCAAAAGACTGAGTTTGATTGATATTCGTTTTGGGAATAACACATATTAAACATCCTGAAGCCGGGAGAGAAGAGGAAGAGGGGGGAGGGGGGGTTACCTTTGATTCCCATTGATCATTCCTAAAAAAGTATGTCTCTATTTTTTTTTTTTAATCCTTGAACTCTTATCATTTTCTTTTTTTTTTTAAATTTATTTTGTTTTGTAAGTGACTATCAATGAAAAGATATGTAATGTTGTTTCCATTTTTTGTTGTTTTTAGTGTAATAACTACAAGTTTGTTTGGACGAGCTCGGATCAAACAGAAGTTCCCTACGGGTCCGAGATGGTTGGATGGAGAATTTATTTACTTTTTTACAAAATCCAAAACAGAATATTGAAAACAGGGGTGACTGGTGGATATCTTCCGACTTTGGTTTTAGGTAAACGCTTGACTTTACATTATATAAGAGAATGTTATCTTCCAAGTAAATAAACAATTGGACATATATGAAGGTGGTTTCCATAATAGACAAATATGAGTTAATTACATACATAGAGTATATATCTTGGAGGAAATGCGATTGAATCTATTACTAATAAAAGTTAATGATAAATGCCTCTAAGAGTGTCCACATAAGATTTAAAAAATTCAATTCTATTGGTACACATCATCATTATCTATAGTTAATTATATTTTATATATTAAAATTAACTAATTCGTTTTTATTGTTATAAGAAAAATTTCTAAATTTTAATTAATTTCGTGTTTGTTGTTATTAGGAAAGTTTCAAATAATTTAAGTTAGTTATAAATAAGAAAGAGTTTATAAAGTAGATCTTATTTTTTTATTAACAATAAAAAGTAAATTAACATATAAATATCTTTAACAATAAAAAAATTAACATATAAATGGATTATTAAAGAAAATCATATATATTGAACAAATAAATAAAAACCATATTTAAGACCATAATTAAACTATTTCAAAATTTTAATCATGATAAACAATTAAAAATCTGAACTGATAACCTAAAATATATTAGTTGTGGTCCATGTTGATGTCTTAGGCCAATGAAAGCGTCCACATATGACGTAGAAACTCAATCTGATTGGTCCACATCAGCATTTATTATTAAACATAAAAATGTTAAATATGATTAATAATTTAAATAAATTAAACCATGCAAAAATATAAAATTATCATAGTATATTAGAAAACTAAGATTAAAAGTTTAACTAACAAAATAGATAAAATAAAATTATGTCAAAAATCCAAATCTATAATATTTGTCAAAATAAAATAGAAACTTATTGTCACAAAAGCTAAACTAACAAAAACAAATATGTAAATCAATAACAAAAAAGTTTAATTAAAAAAGAAAAAAAGTTAACATATATATTTTAAATGAATAATTTGTTTAGAAAAAATATTAAGATTAAATTGTTTATATAAACACTATCAATACTACCAAAAAAATTTCATGTTAAATTAACAAAAGAAAAAGTCATCTAAAACTTGATATTTAGCTAATTATTTAGAAAATCAGAACAAAAATCTGAACTAACCAAAAAAGTTTAACTAACAAAAAACCAAACATAATTTTTTTTTTTTGTAACATGTCAATACAACTAAAATAAAAATTCATATCGAAAAACTTAAATTAACAAAAAGAGGATTTTAATTTGATATCAATGCTATTTTTTATTTAACAAATTCAATATAAACAAAATAAGTAAGAAAATAAAAAAACGTAAGTAATACTAAAAACCTTTACTAACAAAAAGAAGATAAATATTTAAGCTAATTATTAAATAAATCAATATTAAGAAATTAATTAACAAAGAAAAATAAAACGAAAATTAAGTTTTACAAAATGTTAAATTATAAAAAAACATCTAAAAATAAATTGACTTGATATCTGACTACCTATTTAAAAAATCAATATTAAAATATTTAATTAATAAAAAACGAAAATTAAATTTATGTCTACAAAAATATCAATATTTTCAAAACAATTATGTGTTAAACTATAATAAAAACCAATATCAAGAGAGGTAAATTATCAAAAGAAAAATTTGTATAAAGAAACCTAGCTTGATATTTAGGCTAATATTTTGAATAATCAACATAAAAAATTAACTAAAAAAAGCAAATGATGGTATAGGCTTTTGAAAGAAATTCACATAAAATTTAGAATAGCCAGTTATAGCACGTTAAAATAGAATTATAATTAAAATAAAAATTAATGTAAAAAATAAATTTAACAAGGAAAAAATATTTATGTAAAAAAGATTAAATTGATATATGCTACCTATTTGAAAAATCAATAACAAAAGAGATTGATTAAATATATATATATATATGTTTTAAATATAACAAAAATGCACAAATTAGATAAATTAATGTAATAGAAAATTATTATAGAAAGATATGTAGAATAACAAAAAATAAAATCTAAGAAGAAAATTAGTTTGAAATTTAGTTCTAGAAAATTCATGATTTCTCAAATATTAATATTGGCTATGAATAACCATATAAAGTTAAAGTAGGTTATACAAGTTTTCAAATCAAACATATTATTTAAATTTATAATAACTAATATATTGGCTGCATCTGGTTTAAAACTAACAAAAAAAAATACTACACAAGTAATTTTACATTTGAAATATAACAACTAATTTATACATAGTTACTACTTATAACTTAGCCAATTTGAAGAGCACATGAGCAACATCTTATATAATTTCCTTTATATAGTAAAGTATGACAAAGTTATGAACCAAAATCAAATTAGAATATATCTAGATAAACTATTCAAATCAAAACATGAATAAACCACATAAAAAATAAAAACAGTGATAATGTGAAGAATTCACACTAATTTACATGTTTAAAAACAAAAGCTATCAAATAGTTGAGTACAAATAAAACTGATCTTATAAACTGAATAGAGATATAACTTAAAATTCATAAAAGATCTGGTAGAGAAGCAAGAAGCAGTTTTACATGATTATTGTAGCATCCTAAAAAAAGTAAATCTGAAGCAACATGAATAATATAATATATACATAGGTACACAACATCAATGAGATATTTAATCAAAAATTAAATATTTGAACATATAAATCTTAAAAAAGAACTATAGAAATCCTAAACGCACAAAAAACACCAAAAATAGTAAGTAAATTATTTTCTAAATCAAATGTATGCACTTGGAAGTTGGATAATTTGTTAGATGTTATTACTATGATTTTACTCAATAAGATTTATTATTTTATAATAAAAATAGGTAAAAATACATATTATGTTTTAATTTTTTTAATTTTTTTTATATAAAAATAAAATTCTATAGATATATTATAGTTTTGATAATTTAAAAGATTTTAGCCAAATAAAAAAACTAAACCAAATTATTAATGTAGACTCGCTCGTAGCGCGAGTTAAAAGCCCAGTTCACAAAAAAGAAGACTATACACCTTGGATACCAAGTTAAACAATTAAATGACCCATTTTAAAAATGAAAATAAAATAACTCAAAAGAGATGAAATAAAAATGTCAAATTGAAAGGGGAGAAAGTCTAATATATATGCAAAATAGTAGACTATTGAATTGACGATCATAACCGCCCATATAAACAGAAAAATCTATCAAAATTTCCACAACTCGGAGTTTTATGCACATAAAAGGTGTGGAACATAAATGTAAACAAGCTGATTTTTTTCTGATAACATTTTAACCGTTTTTCGTTCGTAATTAATAATTTCATATACATAAAGTAATTTTTTATAGCTATAGGTCCAAATAAAACTTATATAACTATAAATTATTATAATTAAAATAGTTGAACTAATAAAAAATAAAATAACAGCATATACATATTAAGTAGGAGGGATGTAAAGTGGATGAGGCCAGTAAGGGAAGCCAGTGGATCTTAATGAACCTTCCTCTGTGGAGAAGAGATTGCAAATTTGTGTGTTGATATCGAAAACTCCATAGTTATAACCCACAAAATAGATGCAGTTTGGCTTAAGGCCTGGATACAAGCTTGCTTGTAGACAGAACGCTTCATCACGTCCAAGAAAGATACAAAGATCTCCAATGTTTTCTGTGTAAGACAAGTTTTTTTTTTCTTCATCCGTTGATGGTTCTTCCACTTTAAACACCAAGAACCGTTTTGTCTTGTGCTCGAATTTTTCACCGCTGAAATTCTTCATGTCGTCTCCGTAGTACCTACAAAAACATGAGAAGTTCTTTATTTTTTTAATCCTAAGAAGAGCAAGAACCTTAGGATCATGAGCCGAAGCTCATCAGGCTAATAAATAATTAACATACATACCACTTGATGAGGAATTGCTCTCCGGATGGTGACTCCACCAGGTGGTCTGTCCTGGTCATCGCAAAAAGGTCGGCCATATTGTGCAACATACTTTGAGGAAGAAGCTTCGTCCACAAGCTAACGAGTTCAGGTTTGTCCTTCTCCTTGAAGTTGAGATCAAAGGAGCACAAATATTCACCACCAGGGCTTGGAATGTAGAACTTTTGATCTTTCTTAGAGAACATGAGACTCGAGAATGGGCTCATGTACCCATTTACGGTTTCAACATCGGTCCAATGCAAGTAAGGGCCGTCTCGAGAAGCCGACCTCTAGACCTTGAGCTGAGATCCTGATAACTTGACAACCACTACCACGTCTTCACGGTTGTCTAGGTCTTCTTCTCTTTGACAAAAGAGAATCACTGCGTTTTGGATTTGAGTGCCTAAGGGCAGATAAGGTAATGGAGGTGCCCTGTGAGTTACTTTAGCGTCAGAAGGATCGTAACGGATACGCGTGATACCGATGTGTAAGTGATGGGTAATCTTGCAAGCACTTAATCTATCCTTTTGATGACAGTATCCAGTATTCATTGCTTCCTGGATTTCGTTTGCGAGTATCTCATTCCTAATCACGATTTCTTTTTCCGTATTTGATACCATCTTTCTTTCTATGCGACCGTCCGATGAAACTTGTCCGGTAAGGATGCGGTCAATTAACACATACGGGTATATTGGCATGGATGAGAACAACCGAACCATCTTGTTGTTGTGTCTCTGCCAAATGTAAGTACGTTTGTGAACTAATAATACAACAAGGACCAATAATAGTAAAAAAAGATTATCGAAAGGGAAAGGAAAAAAAAAATAGCTTACAATGAAGTTTTTGCAGACGAGAGGCTTCATGACTCGACTGAGAAGGTGAGACATTTTTTTCTCCAAAATAAAATTAGGTTGGTGATTTCTTGTGAGACTAATTAAGTTTGCATTATAAATGTCCTTGGACGCCAACTTTACATTAAAGAACAATACTAAGAGAGTAAGAGAATAATATTTATAAGGAAATAAACGATTATACCTAGTGTAAACCAAGAAAGAGGAGAAAAATGGATATACGGTGATGTTTCAAGTAATAAAAATCAAAACCTGTGTCATAATAATTGAGTAAAGTTTTCTTAACGAAATCGCTTTAGCCCAACTAGGATGAGATAAGATGTTTAGCTATCAAAGTAGCTTTTGAGATGGTCGATAGCTAATGATCGCAAGTGATGTTTTTTTCGATGAGATTTATTTTGATCCACATGGAAAATGAAAAAGATGTAATAGTTTGCACCATTCAGCAGTTCACGCACATTATAAGTATGAATCAAATAAATGTTGATTTATCAGTTGGATAATAATATCAAATACTAAACAGAAATTAATTGTTTCACTGATAGAAAAAAAAAACAACAGATATGTTAATTAGTAGTGATAGAAAGAGGATGATGCCAGTAAGGAAAATCAGTGGATCTTAATGGACCTTCCTTTGTGGTGAAGATAGTGCAAAGTTGTGTGGTGATACCGAAAACTCCATAGTTGTAACCCACAAAATAGATGCAGTTTGGCCTAAGACCTAGAGACGAGCTTGCTTGGACACAGAAAGCTTCATTACGTCCAAGAAAGATACAAAGATCTCCAATGTCTTCTGTGTAAGACATCATTTTCCCTTTTTTATCCGTTGATGGTCCTTCCTCTTTAAACACCATGAACCGTTTTGTTTTCTGCTCGAAGCTTTCACAATGGTAATGCTTCTTGTGGTCTCCGTAGTACCTTCAAATACATGAGAAGTCATTAGTGAATAAAACCCTTTTTGTTTTCAATAAAAGGGGAATTCATAATTTACAATTAATTCATCCCTTAACTTTTAAGACAACCCTTTCTACCACTAGACCACCATAAAATTGGTTTTAAATCAAGAACATCAATAAAAGGTTTCTCTCAAATTCAACAAATCTTATATTTACAAATTAAGAAAACAGAAACAAAAAATATATAACGTACCACTTGATGTGGAATTGTTCGCCGGTTGGTGACTCGACCAGGTGGTCTGTCCTGCTCCTCTTAATCGCCAGGTCGGACAAATCGTACAACAAACTTGAAGGAAGAGGATTTGTCCACAAGCGGATTAGCTCGGGCTTGTCCTTCTCCTTGACGTTGGGATCAAAAGAGCACAAGTATTCACCTCCAGGAGTTGGAATGTAGAACTTCTGATCTTTCTTAGAGTACATGCATGAGACAAGAGAATGGGCTTATGGACTCATTTGTGGTTTCGATATCGATCCATCTAAAGTCATGGACATGAGAAGCTGGACTATAGATCTTTATCCTTGATCCTATATATTAACTTGACAGCAACAACCAAGTCTTCAATGTTTGTGTCTTCATCTCTTTGACAAATGGACATGGCTACGTTTTGGATTTGAGTCCCTGTGGGCAGATAAGGTAACCGAAGTTCCTTGGGACTTGCGTTAGGGTTCAAAGGATCGTGATACATACAAAGATGGAGACGCACGTTATCAATATCGCTGAGGTACGATTGATCGCTATACATGGAAACTTCAAATCTATCATCATTCTGATAATATCGGACATTCATTGCATCACGGACATCTTCCTTGAGTTCCTTGTCCTTAATCACGATTTCCTGTACCGAACTTGTACCAATCCCAACATCGATTAGAGGATCCAAAGAATATCCGATCGAGTTTCTTATTTCCTCTCCGACCTTAAGGACGTGGTCAACTAATACATACGGGTACATCTGTTGCATAGATGAGAACAACCGAACCATCTGGTTGTTGTGTCTCTGCCAAATGTAAGTACACGTTGAACAAATTAATCATACTAGTAAGAATAAACACGAGATGATTAATTGATTATTATAGAAAGGCCAAAAAGCTTACGATGACGTTTTTGCAGACAAGAGGCTTCAAGACTCGACTGAGAAGTTGAGACATGTTTTCTAAGAATCTCCAAATTACGCTGGTGATTTTCTCGAGTGTTCTTGCTCTTTAGACTGCTAAATTTAAAATCCTTGGACACCAAGTTTACATTAAAGAACAATACTAAGTGAATAATATTTATAAGGAAATAAATAATTATACCTAAATGAAACATAGGAAAATAGGAGAAAATTGGATATACTAAGGTGATGTTTAAGGCTGTAAGAATCAAAATCGTATTTTTTTTTTAAGAAATGGAATATACATAATTGTTGGTGATTGTAACTCTCATTGTTTATTTCTGAGAAAATTAGTTTCTTATTATCACTACATTACAGTATTACTTAGTCATATATACTATTGTTTTAGTTTCTGATAATTCTTTTATTCCACTATGTGCTGCACATTTGCGGTAGGCTGCAATTGAACAGAGACTCATTAGCTTATTTCATTCCATTTTTCTATGCAACTTGGAAGACAACTATTCCTCATCTTGGTCTTTTACATCCTCTCTAATGGCATTTGGTTAAAGAAATTCGAGTAGAATTTAGGGCAAAATTTAAGTTTCTGATAGGGTTTGAGTTTGCTACATTTGTTTCATATAGAGAGAAGCATGTGTGTATATTGATCATGATTGCATTTGGATTGAGCAGGGCCGGCCCCCAATTTATAGTGGCTCATTTCAGAATTTTTTTTTAAATTATTAATGTTTTCTAGCTTGTTGATATAAGTCCATAATATTTATAGAGAGATCAATTCAGTAAAAGAGATAAATCCACAAATTATCAACAAACAGGCTCAATTGTGTTGTGTTTAGCATTTTCCATATAAAAGAATTAATAAGTATTTTCAAAAACCATAGACTATTTTTAATATATATGTCTGGAAGCTTAATTCATCAGATCGTATTCAGTTAAAAAGGAACTAAAATCAGAAATCAAATTACAAATCCGAGGGAAAATGAAGAAAAAAGAAGCAGACAATTCGATTTTAACTCTCTCTCAACCTAAGTTCATATTCAGATTTCATTCTCTTCTTCTCACCATCCACACATTTAAAAGTCACATAAAACCAAAAACTAAAAAAACAAAAAAATACCAAATGACAAAGTTAAAATCAAGAATCTTTGATACTCTTGTGCAACACCATGTACAAAATCATAGAGAGTACAAGAGGAAGAAAGATCACAATCCGTTTCGGTGCTCTAACAGCAAAACTATCGACGCAGCAACCTTCTTCAAGAATCGTCTCAAGCTTTGGCAAGTTTGAGAATTGCTGTTGCTGTTTCTGGTGAGATACAACAAGCCTTGGTGCTACCTCTCCCCATGTTTGCACAAACCTCATCTCCTTGGCCATTTGTTGTCTTTCTTTCACCCGGAGTTTTCTTTTTCCGAGCAACAATCCGATGCAGCAGAAGGAAAACGCGGGTTTAGTTTGAGAACGAAACAAAAAAAACGGTCTCTTTGTAGCGGTTGAGGCTGGCAAAGGAAGATTGAAAGATGATTTTGACTCAACGAATGAAAGATCTTTCAATGGGAGGAACTTAGAGGTGCATATGAAGTGGAGGAGAGAAATGAGAGAGAGGTTATATAGAGAGACTAAAGGTGACAAATTTGGAAAATGAGAAGACAAAAATGAGTTTTTTTAGGGATATGGAAGAACAAAAATGTGCGGTTTGCAGATCGCCAATGATGCTTTTGTTAGATTTGCTAAATTTAGAAACTCTAAAAACAGATGGCACCTCACATTAGAGGTTTTAAGAGTTTAAAAATAAGGGTCAAACAATTATCTTCTCGGATATCTTTAGAACTCAAAAAGCGAACGGTCATAGAGAGAAACAGAGGAGAGACTTAATCAGTTTTCTAGTACTAAAGGCTCATAAATATGGTTATATACTCTCTAATATCTATATGATCACATATACAGCTCTTGAGTAATGTATATATGAACCTGGAATCGGAATGGTGTCAGAGAAAGAATGTAACTGCTTCTCAACTCGAAAGGCTTTTCTTGTTCCAAGAATTGTCACCATAAGGCCTGAAGATTAGAAAATGACCCGTATAAGCGACTGAAAACAGAACAAGAAAAGGGTTGTCTGCAAAATGTATCTTTTTACCTCGGATTTTTCAAATGGAGCAACATGAAGATGATGGATATGGTTATGGAAGAGGCACCAACAACGAGATAAGTGATACCAAGGAAATCGTTTCTTCCTCCTAACCAACTTGATGTGGAGAGAATAAGCTTCTTCTGTCCACTAAAGCTGTAAGTGTTGTAATTGTTCATCAAGTTTACCACAACAACGTTCCCGGGTTCCAAGTCTTCTTCGATTCGTCCGTATAGTTTCCGAAAGCTCAGTAAAGCAGATGCTCGCATCCACACGATAAAGTCCTCTTGGTCACTTAGCTGCGAAGTAAACAAAACCTCTTTAGCTCAAAACTATGATTGAGACTTTAATGGTTAAAGAATTGTAGTTGATAAGAACGCATACCGGAACTTTGGGATCCAATTTTGCTCCACCAATCAAAGTTCCGTTCTGGAAATTGAAAGGATACACATTCTTCCCAAACTTGTGCTCGCGGTCACTCTTCCACGCAATGTTATCTCGGCTCACTTTCAGTTTCATACTTTCACGAGCAAAAGCAAACGTATCATTGAACATACTCCAAGCTATTAACCCGCAAGGAACGATAGGAAGACCATTAGATGACTCCTCGGGCTCACAAGCACTTGTGTGGCTATACTCTACTCCATGTAACAGTTGTTGATCACTTCTACTCTTTACATACCTGCAAACAAAAAAAACCCATCCGTAAGCAAAATGATGGACTTTCTCATCACCAGTTTCGACAACAACAAAATAACAGAAGGGTTCTTGTTATTTTTTACCGTCGGTGGTTTTGATAGTAGTTATCAAGCTGGTAGTAGATAAAAATGGGAGCTTTCATATGCTTTTGTACCTATAATCATGCATACGAAATTAAAAAAAAAAAAAAATGTAACAATGAAGATACTCTTTTGATTTGGGATCAATGGAAGCAGAAAGGCATTACCTTTAAGTACCTAGTACAATTCTTTGGGATCGATGAATCTGTTACGTATGAAAGTTTGTTGCTTTTATATTCTTCAGGAACACACTCAACATCATACCGGTCTACAATTTCAATAGCCTGCCATTGCAAAGGATTTGTTCAAGAACTCACAAGCTCAAATACAAGAGATTAGATTTTTTTTCCAATAATGGAGACTTACATCACGAGAAGCACGGAGAGTGATGAAGCCAATGGGGATGAAAACAAAACCCATCAATAGAAACACTGTTATGACCTGCAAGACCATGTTTCAGTGTGAGATTTTCAAGAACTTAGAGATCAAAAATTCAGAACTGGTCACACAAGAGGAGTTCATGTTACTAACCGATGCTGGTGTTAAGACTGGTTTACAAGCTGGGAGCTTCTGCTGCTTAAACTGATACAGAGCTGCCAAAATCAACACACTCAATGAATCTATGAGCAATGCAACAATCGATTTGCCCTACTCGTAACCGTGAGAACTCAAAGTAGGCTTTTTATCACAAAAAATTGAAATCTTGGAATCACCTTTGGATCGCCTCGATCGTAAGAAGGATGGTTGATCAGGAGCACGATTCATCGAAGTGCTCGATCCTTCTACTTCCATCATTATCTCGCCCTGACTTCAACTATACATCGGAAGAAGAATCACTCCCCTCGAGAGTCGAACACAAATCGGCGGGGGATAAAACTCCGGTGACTCTCACGGTGGGTCGATAGATCCGATTTAGAATCGTGTGGTGGTCTCTGGTCTTTTCACCGGATCTCGATTTTTGTTTTTCCTTTTTTGCCTGATTTTGTTTTTGATTTTTTATAATAAAGATTTTTTTTTTCGCTTCAGTAAAGTTGTTGCATTTGATGAAAAAAGTTGACAGAGAACAATTTTAATTTTGAACTTAAAATCGGAGGAATTGACTAAAAAACATAGGACTGAATTTGAATTAGACCCTCTTTAATGTGTTATTGTATTATTCATCCTAAAATATATTAATTGCAAAATGTAATTAATTTTTTTTCTAATGTATTACTACGATTTACTCGTGTTATGTCTTTTTTAATATTTGAAATTTTAGTTTTTTTTATTCTTAGGTTATTTGATATAATATTTAGGATTTATTTATGTTGTTCATAAGCAAATTTTAGGATGTTTCATGGAGGGATCTGATAGATTGTCGGACTTGCGAAGGAGATTCGAACTCTGGGAAAATAGGTTAGCCTGCAGAGAATGAAAGAAGAAAACGAGTCTCGATGAAATAAAAAAGGATTGTTTTTCCGATTACGCTCCAATGCTCAAGTTGGAAAAGACACACTACTGGTCGGAAGACGTAAAAATACTAGAAACACAGGGGAATGTGAGGCTTTACCAACTCGGGGGAATTTTGATAGAGCTTTTAGTATTCAAGGATTAATGTTATGAAGCTAGAAATGAAGTGATCTCTCTAGGAATTTTTCTTCTCTACCGTTGGTGTGAGAAGTGTGTTATAAGGAATGATGTAATACTCGGGGTGAGAGTGTTACAAAGATCAGAGTGGGTGGTTTGATGGAGTCTTCACACTGGCCTTAACGCTATCTTGTGTTGACTGATGGATGAAAATGGTAGAACAAGGTTTGAAATCAATCCTTGAGCCGAGATGGGGTTTGTTGAATGAATCCACACTCAACCATGAAGCAAACAACTTGAATCCACAAGTTCTTCAATCCGCAAAACTCAAAGGAGTTTAGTGAATCCACACTAACACTCAAATGAAAAGAAATACAAAGATAACTCACTTTGTAAGAGAAACTATAAAGCTTTGATTTAACTTCAATGATCAAGGGTCATTACAAATGAAATACTAAGTGAGCTTATATAATGCTCATTGCAACGTTCTAAAAGCTAAAGAAAGAAACAAAATTGACAAAATTAAAGAAAACTAGCCGTTAGGCTTTAAATGGTGATATCTGGCCAAAATGGGAAGGTCTTGGTGTGCTTGATTCTTGACAACTTGGGCGTGTATGTATGATGCCTTGGTATGCCCATATCCAATGAATAATACTTCAAAACGCAGCAGCAAAGGCAATAGAACCGTTGGACATTGATTGATCTAAATGTGAATGCTCTTGAAGTCGGATATGGAAGGTAGTGAAGTGTGAATGGCCAAGGTAGGATCCGCCTGATTCTCTGGTTGCTGGTGCAGCTAAGGACGTCTTTTAAAGCTTCTAGATGGTTGAAAGTATCTCCTGGTCGCCAAAGATATGTTTGTAATCTCTCAAACTCGGAAGACTCTAAATAAGGCAAGTGTAGCAACTTCCGGTTTAGTAACTCAATAACTTTCACATCACAACCGATATTGATGTGAATCCAATTCGCTCTGGTCCTCTGATGAACCAAGATTGCATAACAAATCGGTTCGTCGCTTAATTCCTCCTGGTTCAGTGGGAAACCTCCAATAACCGCTCGCATGTCCGATTCGGGAAGGTTCTGGTTTACCCGGCTTTGAACTTGAATATCTCCTTCGTATGAAATCATTTTTGACCGAATCTAATTCCTCGCGCGTCCTGATGAGTTGAGAATCCAAAACAGTTGAATTTGTTGCTTGGTTCATCCTGGTTCGTCCGGAATGACTCGATAAGTGATCGTATGTCTTCATCGAGCTCATTGAAGATCTGCCAAATTGTATCTTCAATAACTTCTTCATAGGAAATCCTTTTTGGCTGATTATTTTTTGTGGTGAACTCTAGGTGAGTTGTGTATGCTCTACATGTCTTGGTTGAGTCTGAATGCATGAAGGGATTGAGGTCTAGAAGGAACAAATCATGAAAGATAGTCTCTCTTTTATTCATGACATGTTCCCCAAGGGAGATCGTCTCTCCTTTACCCTTGGCTAGACCATCATGTCTATTGATCATCAGCTCCATTGTTTATGCTATCCTCAATATTGCATCATACTCTCCTTCTTCAAAAAGTTTTGTCCTCAAAACTTGTTTATCTGCATATAGATAAGTCAAGTTAGTATCATGAATTATAGGAGAGCTTACTTTCTTACCTTGAGGTGGCTCTGATTTGGTGAGGGGTGGAACATCAGGGGGTTCTCCTTTGCTCAGGTCTGGTACGATTTTCTCTTCTTTAGTGAACTTGGTAATGATCACCATTGGGTCCAAATCTTTCATCACCAATTGGTTTTGTAACAAATTTTCTTCTAGTGGATTTTCTTTGCAGCTTACTCCTTTAGTTCCTGCAATAAGATTGACACTTTGGACAAGAAACAAGTGCATTATGGATTCTTTAAGATAAGATAAGCTAGTTAAATCAAATTTATTAGCACTAGTTGCAACAAGATTTTTTTTCTACTTGTGATTTTAAACAAATTGATCTCTCATGATCTTGTAAGTTTAATAAATCTTTTAATACAGCTGTGGAACCATTAGGAATGAATTTAGTTAAAGAGAGACTTACCTGGCTAACACAGAAAGTGTTTGGAGTTTGATCTGGTGGTTTCTCTTTGATATCTTCCTTTTCTTTATCCCTTTCATCAGACTTTATGCTTAAGATTTTTGTGAGCTCTTGTGTATTGTTGGGGATAGGTCCAATATCTAGAGATGGCGTTTCTTCTCCAGCTCCAGTATCTTGCTTCTCTTTAATACCTGTTTCAGAATTTCTTGGCAAAGACAAGTGCATTATACTAGAACTGAAAATTTTAAGAAGTTCAACATTTTCTTCTTCTCTCCTATTATCTTTCTTTTCTTTTTCAGGATGTGAAGTTGTATCTACCTTTCTAGATGGACATATCTTAGCAAGATGACCTCTTTGATGACACCTATAACATGTCATATCTTCTATCTTAGAAGGTTGAGAAGACTTACATTGCTCTGTTTTGTTGTGGGGTTCATGTAATGGAGTTGTACTTGTCTTTTGTACTCCATCTTTTAGCTTTGAATATTGGTGAACGTTTAGTTGGCAACTTCTTCTTATGAATGTTGTGCATCACGTTCTTTGGCTTAGGACTATAAGTCTTCTTTGGTCTTGCTGCAAGAACCCATCTTCTTGGCTTAATGTAAGAATAACTTATCACATTATGTTGATTTTGAGCAGCAGCTTTCTTTTCTTTTTATAGAGTAGGACGAAAAATTAACAAAATAAATTTTTATTTTTGTTTTTTTTTTTATTTATAAAGATAAAACAAGTTTTTAAAAGATAATTATTTAGATTTTCTGATTTTTCTTTGAAGGAAATAAAAACAAATTGCAAGTAATTTTTTTTTTAAATGAAACAAATATTCAGAAAACAAAACAAAATACCTTTTTATAGATTTTATATTTTATAGGAATTCAATTAAACAGAAACAAAATAAAAAACATAATTTTTTTTTTTAACTAGATGAAAAAATAACAAAACAGAAAAATAAAAAGATAGAGGTTGGATGAACACAACCTGATGGATAGGAGCTTTTAAGGCTCTGATACCAGATGATGTAATACTCGGGGTGAGAGTGTTACAAAGATCAGATTGGGTGGTTTGATGGAGTCTTCACACTGGCTTTAGCGCTCTCTTGTGTTGAGTGATGGATGAAAATGGTAGAACAAGGCTTGAAATCAATCCTTGAGCCTAGATGGTGGGGTTTGTTGAATGAATCCACATTCAACCACGAAGCAAACAACTTGAATCCACAAGTTCTTCAATCCGCAAAACTCAAAGGAGTTTAGTGAATCCACACTAACACTCAAATGAAAAGAAATACAAAGATAACTCACTTTGTAAGAGAAAACTATAAAGCTTTGATTTAACTTCAATGATCAAGGGTCATTACAAATGAAATACTAAGTGAGCTTATATAATGCTCATTGCAACGTTCTAAAAGCTAAAGAAAGAAACAAAATTGATAAAATTAAAGAAAACTAGCCGTTAGGCTTTAAATGGTGATATCTGGCCAAAATGGGAAGGTCTTGGTGTGCTTGATTCTTGACAACTTGGGCGTGTATGTATGATGCCTTGGTATGCCCATATCCAATGAATAATACTTCAAAACGCAGCAGCAAAGGCAATAGAACCGTTGGACATTGATTGCTCTAAATGTGAATGCTCTTGAAGCTGGATATGGAAGGTAGTGAAGTGTGAATGGCCAAGGTAGGATCCGCCTGATTCTCTGGTTGCTGGTGCAGCTAAGGAAGTCTTTTGAAGCTTCTAGATGGTTGAAAGTATCTCCTGGTCGCCAAAGATATGTTTACAATCTCTCAAACTCGGAAGACTCCAAATAAGGCAAGTGTAGCAACTTCCGGTTTAGAAACTCAATAACTTTCACATCACAACCGATATTGATGTGAATCTAATTTGCTCCAGTCCTCTGATGAACCAAGATTGCATAACAAGTCGATTAGTCGCTTAATTCCTCCTGGTTCAGTGGAAAACCTCCAATAACCGCTCACATGTCCGATTCGGGAAGGTTCCGGTTCACCCGGCTTTGAACTTGTATATCTCCTTCGTATGAAATCATTTTGGACCGAATCCAATTCCTCGCGCGTCTCTGATGAGTTGAGAATCCAAAACAGTTGAATTTGTTGCTTGGTTCATCCTGGTTTGTCCGGAATGACTCGATAAGTGATCGTATGTCTTCATCGAGCTCATTGAAGATCTGCCAAATTGTATCTTCAATAACTTCTTCATAGGAAATCTTTTTTGGCTGATTCTTTTTCGTGGTGAACTCTAGGTGAGTTGTGTATGCTCTCCACATCTTGGTTGAGTCTGAATGCATGAAGGGATTGAGGTCTAGAAGGAACAAATCATGAAAGATAGTCTCTCATTTATTCATGACATGTTCCCCAAGGGAGATCGTCTCTCCTTTACCCTTGGCTAGACCATCATGTCCATT